TGAAATTCCAAAAGGTTCACATACTTTTTCCACTAGCACTGTAAGGTTTTTATGGTTGTTCCCTATAAAGACATGAAGGATCAGAATTGTTTTTGTGTTATTATTTTAGGCACATTATATTTGTCAATACTTTTGACTTAGATGACGGTCAGATCACATTTTATGACAAACATAATGCAGAACACCATGAAATTCCAAAAGGTTCACATACTTTTTCTTGCAACTGTATGTAGCCTGGAGGGGGAGGAGAAAGAGGAAGAAGTAGTTAAGACTTGACTCCTGGTGACTGACTAGATAGGTCCCTGCAGTTTTCTTAGCAACATTTTTTGGAAGTGGTTTGCCCTTGTCTTCTTCCTATAGCTGAGAGTGACCAGCCCAAAGTCATCCAGCTGGATTTATGCCTAAGGCAAGATTAGAACTCAGCCACCCAGTTTTTAGCTAGGTGCCTTTAACCATTACACCAAACTGGCTCTCCATAAAAATCAAGACTGTTTATTTGGAAATCCCATAAATGGCAATAAGCTCTCAATGTCAGGACATACTAACAAGCCTGAGGTGGTGACTATAAACTGTGAGCAATAAAATCAACACAACGAAGCCCCCAAAGTGTATGTGTGACTCATAGATACATGGTTTAACAGGAATTGATTTAACATGCCACTCCATCCATTTTATGGCTTGATACGAACCTTGCTATTTTGCGAACTAACAGGACTGCAATGCATTTTAGGTAATCTACTTGGCTTATTTCTTTCCACAGCAGCTTCATCATACAAAATACTCCTACTCAGTAGGGTTGTGCAGAGCTTTGGAAATAATTCAGAAAAGGTGTTCCAGAGTGTGTAGGAGTGGCTTCCCTGAGATTCTGCAGCTGCCCCGTGCTTTAGGGAATTGCAGACAGGTGCTACATTTCCTGCATTATTTCCAAAGCACTGCAGCATCTTATTATTCAGCACTTTATGCAACCCATATATTTATCATGGCAGGATTCAGATACACAATAAGCTATGGCTTATTGTGATGGGAACAAGCTCATTCCAGATTTCAACACCTCCCTCTCTCATTCTGGCCCAGCTATAAGAACAGAAGCTTTTCCTTCTGTTTCAATTAATCAATTTAGCCTTACATCTGAACATTAAATTGAGAGTGATCCTAAACTACAACTTTCGACTATAGTACGAAATGTGACACAAACCCTGGTTAAGATTAACCAAACTTTGTCAGGTTCTGTGAAAAAGAAAGCGACAGCTTCCAAATTCCCCTCTGCTGCTGCATGGATGAGAATGATGGGAGTGGGCTTCTGCCATATTTTACAGGGACAAGGAATAGCATCATTTGGAGGACGGATGATTTCTGGGCCTCCTCCCTGTTACCAGATGTCACGGAGTGGCTTTGGGCATCTACTCATGGAAAGATGGAGGGTAAAACTCTGAAAAATGCTGCTTTGAAGTAGTGGGTTCCAGATGGATGGCTCTGCTGCTTCCCCCATAGAAAGGGAGAGAGAAGGCAGGAGAAAATGCTATTTTAAAAGAGAGTTGGATTTGTCTGAGTACATCAAGACAGAGGCTTCCAGTTTATTGTAACTCCAAATAGAGTCATGCAAGCCACAGCTCCATAGATTAAATGTGTCTTTGAATGCATAAAGTGTCAAAGTCAGACCTTAGCAAAGTTGTTAAAAACATTTTAGCAACAAAGCTAGAAAAAGCCAGTAGAGAGGATGCTGTCTACTGTTTATTACAAACATTTATGCTCCACCTTTCTATGTCATGGACTCAGGGCTCACAAAGTAATTATATAATGGAAAAAACGGAACAGCATTTTTACAAAAGCATTGTTACAGAATTAGGTCAGACACTTTCCTTGGAAAACTGTTCTACAATCTCACTCTTACATTTGAGAACCTGTTTACATCAGAAGCGTTTGGACTCTATGACAATAACCTATCCTATCTTCATGAAGGATTCCTGGGGAGAGATGGGACTCTCACTAATATGCAGTCAAGGATTGGGGACAAGAAAACAGAACACAAAGAGGAGGAGGAGCCAGGATGGGGAATTTTGTAGGATACTACAACAGAGACATCAGTAGGTGGAATTCAAAACCTCTGAAGATTTTAGGCCAATGCACTGAGTACAGGAAATAAATAGGGAGAAGACAGGAAGGCAAATATCAGGAAGACAAATATGGTGAGGTGGGTATTGCTAAAACTTGGGGGGATGATACTTATGATTGGCACACAGCAGTGGAAGGCAACAATTTATTCAAATAGAACAAACCCAACAGATTTGGTGGGGGGGGGCATTGCATGGAATGTAAAGAAAAAAATATACTTGTTCAGAAATTCAGGAATCAGAGCATTGAAATCTTGTATGAAATATGTGGCTAAAACAAAAGGGATATTGCTATAGGAGTTTATTACTGACCATCTGGACAGGCAAAAGATATAAATGAGATCATAAGAACATAATCAGTGCCCAGCTAGTCCAGCAGTGTGTTCCCACAGTGGCCAACCAACTGCACAAGGAAGCCCACTAGTCTCCCAGCAGATGGCCTTCGGGGGCTGTCACACTGCCATCAAGGTTAATAGTCATTAATCTTTCTGCATTCGATGACTAGTCTTTCAAGGAGGCATGCAATATTGATAATTGAAATGGAGAATTTCAATTATCCTGGCATCTGCTGGGAATCTGCCAAGAGTCAGAGGTCCAACAAATTCTTGTTCTCTTTTGCTGACTTCTGACTTCTCAGAAGGTACGAAAAGAAGAACAAGGTGATCTGCTATCTTGGACCTAATTCTTACCATCAGAGATTAATTGTTTGAGGAAGTAAAAGCGACAGGTACCTGGGGGGGAAGTGAACATGTTATCCTTGTATTAGTGATATCTAGAAGGGGAGAAACTGAGAACAGTCAGTTTGCCTACTGGATTTCAGAAGAGCAGATTTTGATGAACTCTAAGGAAAAATAGGTCAGATCCAACGGCCTGAAATCCTAACAGAGAAAATTGTACAGTAAGGATAGGAAATTCTGCAAAATGAAATACTGAAAGTGCAATCACAAACAATCCCAAGAAAGAAAAATGAGAGAAATCTAAAGAGGCCAGTGGGGGTATGTGCAGAATTCTCTAAAACGTTGAAGGAAAAAAACGTGTCATATACTGGAAAGGGAAGGAGGGAAACATAAAAACAAATACAAGGTTGTCTCCAGAAACTGTAGGATCGGTCAGAAAAAGTAGAGCTCCGAGTGAGTTGAGACTTCCAAAAGATACCAAAAATAACAACAACAAAAAAGTTATCTGGACATGACAGAACTAAAGGAAAGCTAAAGAGACTATAGATCCATTGAAAGGAGAAAGTGGCAATGCAGAAATGGTGAGACGGCAGAGCTCCAAAACTCCTAATCTTCGTTCTCTCAGCATGGAAAAGGACCCCAGCTGATCATAATTATACCATATTTGATTCTATGAAT